CCAACTACTGGGCTCAAATGATCCTACCTCCTCAGCCTCCTGAGTAGCTGGGACTACAGGTGTGTGTCACTGTGCCCGGCTATTAAAAAAATTTTTTTTTGTAGAGACATGATCTTACTATGTGTCCCAGGCTGGTCTCGGATGCCTGGGCTCAAGCAATTCTCCTACCTCAGCCTCCCAAAGTGCTGGAATTACAGTCATGAGCCACCATGCCTGGCTCCAGGCTTGGTAATGTTTTGTTTTTTTTTTGAGTTGGGGTCTCACTCTGTCGCCCAGACTGGAGTGCAGTGGCCGCTCCTGGCCACCACAGCCTTGACCTGCTGGGCTCCGGTGATCCTTCCGCCTCAGCCTTCCAAGTAGCTGGAACTACAGGTGGGTGCTACCACGCCCGGCTCATTTTTGGATTTATTGTGGAGATGAAGTCTCGCTGCCCAGGCGAGTCTCGAACCCACGGGCTCAGGCAATCCGCTCACCTCTGCCTCCCAAAGGCGTGGGATTACAGGCTGAGCCACTGAGCCCGGCGTGGCTTGGTAATTTTTAATAAGATGCTAGAAAATGTGAATTCTGGATGCTGCATTTTTATTACTATAAATATTCCTGAACTTTGGTCTAGAATGTAGTTAATTAAGTTACTTGGAAATATTTTGATCTTTTTCAAGGCTATCTTTTAAGTTTTGTTAGATGGGATCACAGCAATGTTTATTCTAAAGCTTTTTTTTTTTTCTGTTCATGAGGTAAAACCATTCTGAATATTCCGCAGTGCTCCCATGACTTGGGTGGTTTTCTATGCTAGTTATTGGGAACAGTACCCTTTTTTAGTCTGGTATGAGTTTTGATTATGTATCCCTCTAATCATTTTGATATGATTCATTTCCAAGTCTTGGGAAGTATAGCAGTGTCTATTCCTGGGCAACACATTGCCCAAAACTTATTACTTTTTTTTTTTTTGAGTTGGAGTCTCACTCTGTCACCCAGGCTGGAGTGCAGTGGCACACTCACAGCCATCCCAGCGTCGACCTGTTAGGCTCCAGTGATCCTTACACCTCAGCCTTCCAAGTAGCCGGAATTACAGGCACGTGCTACCATGCGTAGCTAATTTTTTTATTTATTGTAGAGATGAGGTCTCACCATGTTGCCCAGGCTGGTTTTGAGCCCCAGGGCTCAGGTAATCCTCTTGTCTCGGTCTCCCAAAGTGCTAGGATTACAGGCTTGAGCCACTGGGCCTGGCTAAAACTTTAAGGAACCAACATTATCTCTCAATTTCTGTGGTCAGAAATTTGGGCACAGCTTAGCTTGGTGATTCTGGTTCAAGATCTTTCATGAAGTTACAGTTGTTGGTCAAGGTTGTGGTCTCATCTGAAGTCCCAACTGGGAGATCCACTTCCAAGCTCACTTACAATGGCTGTTAGCAAGACTTAGTCTCTGGCCTCAGGCCTCATGGGCATCTCTTCAGGGTTGTTTCATGACATGGTAGCTTGCTTCCCCATGAATAGAGAGAACAACAGAGAGCATGCCCAAAGTGGAAGCCACAGTCTTTTTATAACCTAATATCAGAAGTAACATTCTGTTGCTTCTGCTGTATTCTATTTGTTATAAATGAACCCAGGCAAGGCTCGGTGGCTCAGCCTGTAATCCCAGCACTTTGGGAGGCTGAAGCGAGTGGACTGCCTGAACCCATGGGTTCAAGACCAGCCCAGGCAATTTGGCAAGACCTCGTCTCTTTGATAAAAATAAAAAAATTAACTGAGCATGGTAGCGTGTGCCTGTAGTTCTGGTTGCTTGGAAGGCTGAGGCAGAAGGATCACCAGAGCCCAGCAGGTTGTTGCTGGGGTAGCCGTGAATGTGCCACTGCACTCCAGCCTGGGCAATGGAGTGAGACACCAACTCAAAAAAATGAAATAAGTGAGCCCAACCCACACTTAATGGAAGGATATTTCACAAGTGTGTGCTTACCAGGAGGTAGGGAGCACTGGGGGTCATCTTAGATGCTGCCAGCCACTGGTTATTTTCTAACACACATGTGCTGATTAATACTTGGCTGAGCCTCTAGAAAACCCTCTGCAAGTCTTTGGAGTTCTGTCTTTGCAGAGCTCTCTTCTCTTTGGTACCCTGCTTTGTGAACTCGTGCCTTGCCTTCCCCTGACTCTGTCTTCAGCTCACCAATTCAAGATTGCTGGGCTCTACCTGGGAATCCCCCTCCTTACACCACAACCCAGACAATTTCTGGGCAGTAAGCTGGGGCAACAGCAGAGTTCACCTCATTTGTTTTCTCTCTTGCAAGGATGTTTGTTCTTCATCGCCTGATGTTCAATGTCTTAAAAACCCTTTTTCATACATTTTGTCCACTATTTTAGTTGTTTTAGGTAGAAGGGAAAATCCAGTCCCTCTTATCTCATCTTGCCTGGAAGCAGAAGTCTATAACTAATTGCCTTTTACAGATATTTTGAGTTCTGTACAATTTTTTTTTTTTTGGAGTTGGAGTCTTACTCTGTCGCCCAGACTGGAGTGCAGTACACGCTCCTGGCCACCACAACCTTGACCTGCTGAGCTCCAGTGATCCTTCCACCTCAGCCTTCCAAGTAGTTGGAACCACAGGTGTGTGCTACTACGCCCGTCTATTTTTTTGATTTATTGTAGATATGAGGTCTCGCCAAGTTGCCTGGGTGGGTCTCGAACCTGCTCAGGCAGTCCACTCACCTCGGCCTCCCAAAGTGCTAGGATTACAGGCTGAGCCACCAAGTCCGGCCTCCAATTTTTCACTATCCAAATTTTTACCCTACTGTGATGAATTTCCTGATGTGTTTATCTTTGTATCCTGTACAAGGAAATGTATTAGACAAATTCTTAAAATTGCTGGATCAAGTAGTTGACCCAGTGCATACTGGCTATGTACATTAAAAATATTAATAGATATTGTTGAAATGCCTTTCCAAAAGAGTTTTTTAAAGCCAGGCCCACTCCTTGTGGAGTTTGGATTTTTTTTTCATTAAGATTAATTTTAATAGTTGATTCTAACACTGAGGATCTTGTACTTATTTATTTATTTATTTGAGTCAGAATCTCACTTTGTCTCCCAGGCTGGATTATGGTGGCTCGCTCACAGACACCGCACCTTCAACCTGCTAGACTCAGGTAATCCCTCCACTCAGCCTTCCAAGTAGCTGGAACTACAGGTACATGCCACCATGCCAGTTAATTTTTTTATTTATTGTAGAGACAAGTTCTCACCAAGTTGCTCAGGCTGGTCTCGAATCCCTGGATGCAGGGAATCCTCTCACCTTGATCTTCCAACGTTCTGGAATTTCAGGCATGAGCCATGGTGTCCAGCTTGGGAATCTCTCTTAAATCAGTGTTATTGAGGTATACTTTTTATACAGTAGAATGCACACATTTCACGTGTGTAGTGCAATGAATTTTGACACATTTGTACCTCTGTAACCACCACAATCAAGTTATAGAACATTTCTATCACCCCAAAAATTCCTTTTGACCCTTCCCAGTCAATCTTTACCTCTGATCCCTGCCCCAGGCAACCACTGATCTGCTTTCTATCATTATAGGTTAGATCTGTTTTCCTATGATTTCATATAAATGGACTCATACTCTATGGACTCTTTTGTGTCCGGCTTCTTTTACTTAACATGTTGAGTAGTTGGTTTGCTCCTTCTTATTTCTGAGTTGTATTTCCTTGGAGTATTTTTGTTTGTTTGTTTGTTTGTTTTTGGTTTTGATTTTGAGTCAGAATCTCACTATTTTGCCTGGGCTGGTCCTGAACACCTAGGCTGAAGCAATCCTCCTGCTTCAGCCTCCTGAATAGCTGAGACTACAGGTGTGTGTCTTGGAGATCTTTTTAATGACTCTTGTAGAGGGCCTATTATATGCCAGCACTGTGCTAGGCATATCACATGCTTTGTCTGTAATTCTTTTATCTTTCTTTCTTTCTTTTTTTCCTGAGTTGGAGTCTCACTCTGTCACCCAGGCTAGAGTGCAGTGGCACACTCACAGCCACCACAGTCTTGACCTGCTGGGCTCAGGTGATCCTTCTGCCTCAGTCTTTCAAGTAGCTGGAACTACAGGTGCATGCCACCATGCCCAGCTCATTTTTTGATTTATTGTAGAGATGAGATCTCGCCAAGTTGCCCAAGCTGGTCTTGAACCCGTGGGCTCAGACAATCCTCTCACCTCGGCCTCCCAAATTGCTAGGATTATAGGCGTTAGCCCCGCGCCTGGCCTTTTGTCTGTAATTCCTACAGTAGTCCTGTTAGGGCTCCAATAATCCCATGACTCATCCATGCTTCTATGGCTAGTCACCCCTGCCCCAACTTGAAAGCCCTGATAAATGTGATATGTTAATGGAATGATACGGGGTTTGAATCAAATAGATGAGTTCAAATTCAAGTTTCAACCCTTTTCTGGGTGACTTGAACTCTCTGCTGTTCATCTTATCTCTTAAAGTAGGGCTCAGAGCTCTTGTCTGGAGTAATGGATGTAAAGACTCTAGCACGGGGCCCACCACACAGGGACAGCATGTGGGGCCACAGTGTTTTTCTTATCATTCCTTCTTTTTATTTTCATTTTTTTGAGTTGGAGTCTCAGTCTATTTCCAGGCTGGAGTGTAGTGGCACACTTCTGGCCACCACAGCCTCGACCTGCTGGACTCAAGCAATCCTTCCGCCTCAGCCTTCCAAGTAGCTGGAACTACAGGCATGCGCTACCATGCCCAGCTAGTTTTTTGATTTATTGTAGAGACAAAGTCTCACCATATTGCCTAGGCTGGTTTCGAACCCTCAGGCTCAGGCAGTCCTCTCGCCTTGGCCTTCCAAAATGCTGGGATTACAGACTTGAGCCACCGCACCCGGCCTCTTCATTCCTTCTTAAGTCCCCATGGGTCAGATTATCCAGGCAGGTTCCTGTGATAGACTTTCACTGCCACCACCATCACCATAACTGTCATCTATGCAAGGACCCATTTGTGTGTTTTCCTGTGCTTTCTCTAACAGAATCCTCTCCTATGGAGAGGTTTAAGGAATTTCAGATCAAGTCATATCCTCTACAGGACTTCAGTGCTTTGAAACTTCTGCATCTCCAGAAAGCTTGGGAACAACGGGAGACGAGCCTCAGTCAGAACGTCAAAACCTCAGGGAATAGTCTCCCAAAGCTGTTGGGCCCGAAGATCAAGTAAGCTCAGATTGTGCTTGAAAAGGCAGACATTTCTAATATGGCAGATATGGCAGAATGTCAGGATGCTGAGGAGGGAGCAGAGTGGCAGACTCAGCTCAGCCCCAAGGGGTTGGGTGTGTGTGTAAGGGCAGCTTGGGGAGGCCCTGGGTCTCATATGTAGAACCGCATTCTCTGTTTCTAAGTCAGAGGGGCACTTTGGGAGGTCAACTACTTCTTTTCTGGGGGCCTCAGTAACCCATTAAGGAAGAAAGGGCAGGACAGATCTTCTGGCTCTGACATTCTGTTGGTCTGTGTGGTTGCTGGACCCTTTGACTCTAAGCATCTTCAGAAAGTTCCACCCATCTAAGGAACAGAGTTACAGTGTGACAGAGAAGAGCCTAGGCTTCTTGGCCACTGATTTTAGCTCTGTGTCTCTGGGCAAGGGACTTGACCCCTCTAAGCCTTATTTGTCTGTTGATAATAGTGTCTCAGTCTTAGGGTTATTGTTGCAAGCTAGCAATTAAGTGAGATAACGATAATTAGAGTGAACACAGAAAACTTCTAGCTGGGTGTGGTGGTGGATGCCTGTAGTCCCAGCTACTTGAGAGACTGAGGCAGGAGGATCTCTTGAGCCCAGGAGTTCAAGCTATGCCACTGCACCCCAGCTTGGGTGACAGAGCAAGACACTGTCTCTTAAAGAGAGACAGAGAGAGAGAGAGAGAGAGAGAGAGAGAGAGACAGAGACAGAGACAGAGACAGAGACAGAGACAGAGAGACAGAGCAAGACACTGTCTCTTAGAGAGAGAGAAAGAATACTTTTTTCTATGCCTGGTAATAAATGATCTAACTTAATGTTTACAATTGTCCTATGATTAAGTACTATTATAATCATTCCCATTTTTTCAGGTAAGAAAACCAACGTACAGAGAGAGATTGTTTGTTCAAGGTCACATGGGTAGAAAATGGCAGAGCCAGGATTCAACCCCAAGCAGCTTGTTAATGCTCAGTCTTGTCTGATGTGACTGTCACAGCGGGTATGAGGTGGACACACATTGAGGGCTGAGCTTTTGCCTTTTCTGAAGAGGTTGAGAGCAAAACAGGACACTTGTGGGGACCGGGCTAGAATTAGCTCAGTGCTGGGCCCAGACAGCATGGCTCCTTCCCCCCATTTCGTTTGCAACTGAGGTATTGTCAGGGGGTCACAATCCCCATGTTGCCTCAAGGGGCATTGGCTTGAGTCCTTTGCCTGCTTATATATCCAAGCTTCTCACCTCCGTGGTGAGCATCCTAAGGCTTCTGAGTTGTTTTTTCTTCTGATGGATATTCATTCCAAGGAATTCAGTGCTTAAGATCCCAGTCCCTGTTCTTCCGAAGGTAAAGATGGAACAGACCCAGTTTCTCTGCTGTGAATGAAGAAGGGAGAGGGGATGGGCTGGTCCCAGGGGTGAAAAATAAAGGACATGTTGGGCCTGTGTCATTCCCGTGGGTGGGAATGGAAACCTGTGGTGATTATGAGCTGGCAGAGTCCAGCTGCATTCTCAGCTGCCAGGTAATCTTTTCCCTACTTTGAATCCAAACAGCATAGCCTGTCTCTTCCTTCCACCTAGACAGAGACCACAGAAAGCACAGCAATTTGCCTGTGTAAAATTAACTCAAATATGAACAACGTACAGAGTCTTCCGACCACCCAAGGAAACCTATCTCTGTAAACAAGCAAATGAGCCATGTCTTCTCTGCCTTTCTGTCAAAAGAGGCCCAACTTCTGCTGTGTCCCCAGGGGTACTTGCTCTTTGTCAAAGCAATCTGTTCTGTTTTCAGACATTTCTGACCGCTAGGAATTCCTTCCTCATGTTGGGCGAAGATGGGCCAGCCTGGACTTCTTACCCACCAGGCCTGGCTCTGCCCCTTCCTCCATAACACAGCCTTTAGGTATTTAAAGAGGTCAGCTCTCCTTCCTCTCTTCCTATTCCGTGTCTCCAGTTCCCCACAGTGGGAGTCAGTCTCCCCAGGGCTTCATTTTGAGTTTTTTTGCCTTCTGGGAAAGTGTGAATTCTCCAGAGAGGGGCGCTCTCAACATGCAGCAGAGTGAGAGCTGATTATCAGGGCTTCACAGCTGGCTGTGTTGCAGAGTTCTCTTTAACAAGCTGTCACATTTCAGATCCAGGCAGGCTCATTCAATCAAATGTTCCATGATCAATACCAAGTTTGGAGAGCTCCCCAAGGAGGCTGCAGTGGGGGCTTACATGAAGGTCCACACTGTGGAGCAAGGAGAAATTGTGGTAAGTGTGCCAAGAGCTTTCTTCATAGTATAGTGTGTAACATGAATAGACTGAAGTTCTGAGTAAGGAGAAGAGAGGTTCAAAAAACACCCCCTTCACATTTGATGATATCAGAGAGTAGTGTTGATTTGGAAAGATATGATGAGGCTGTTGTGGCTATGTTTTATTTTTATTTTTTTGAGTTGGAATCTCACTCTGTCTCCCAGGCTGGAGTGCAGTGGCCGCTCCCGGCCACCGCAACCCAACCTGCTGGGCTCCGGTGATCCTTCTGCCTCAACCTTCCAAGTAGTTGGAGCTACAGGTGCACACCCCCACGTCCAGCTAATTTTTTGATTTATTGTAGAGACGAGGTCTCACCAAGTTGCCCAGGCTAGTCTTGAATCCCTGGGCTCAAGCAATCCTCTCACGTCTGCCTCCCAAAGTGCTAAGGTTATAGGCTTGAGCCACCGAGCCTGGCCTTCAATATTTTTAAAATGTCAGTTTTCCTCAACTTGATATGTAAATTCAGTGTTATTCTAATCAAAATCTCAGTAAGTTATTTGTGAATATTGACAAACTGATTCTGAAGTTTATATGGCAAAGCAGATGAATAAAGAAATTGTGGTATATCTACATAGTGAAATATTATTCAGCTATAAAAAGAAATGAGCTATCAAGTCATGAAAAGACATGGAGTTACTTTAAATGAATATTTATTTATTTATTTATTTATTTGGAGTCTCACTCTGTCACCCAGGCTGGAGTGCAATAGCATGCTCACGGCCACCCCAGCGTCGACCTGCCGGGCTCTGGCAATCCTTCTACCTCAGCCTTCCAAGTAACCAGAACTACAGGTGCATGCTACCACTCCCAGCTAATTTTTTATTTTTTATTTGTTTATTTATTTTTGAGTTGGAGTCTCACTTTGTCGCCCAGAATGGAGTGCAGTGGCCGCTCCCGGCCACCGCAGCCGCGACCTGCTGGGCTCCGGCGATCCTTCTGCGTCAGCCTTCCAAGTAGCCGGAACTACAGGTGCGCGCTACCATGCCCGGCTAATTTTTGGATTTATTGTAGAGATGAGGTCTCGCCAAGTTGCCCAGGCGGTCTCGAACCCACGGGCTCAGGCAATCCACTCGCCTCGGCCTCCCAAAGCGCGGGATTATAGGCTGAGCCACCGAGCCCAGCATAATTTTTTATTGTTTGTAGAGATGAGGTCTCACCAAGTTGCCTGGGCTGATCTCCAACCCGCGGGCTCAGGCAATCCACTTACCTCAGCCTCCCAAAGTACTGGGATTATAGACTGAGCCACTGAGCCACTGAGCCCAGCCTAAATATTTCTAAGTGAAAGAATTCAATATGAAAAGGCTAAATAATGTATGATTCTGACTCCATGACACTCTGGAAAAGATAAAACTATGGAGATAGTAAAATGATCTGTGATTGCCAGAGGTTTGGAGTTCAGGGACTGGGATGGATAGGTAAAGTACAGGAGATTTTTAGGGCAGTAAAATTATGATACTCTAATGGTGACACAGAACATCAAGCATTTGCAAAACCTATAGAATTTTACAGCAAAAATGAGACATGAGACTGGAGGCGAGAGGGACTGCATGTGAACACTGTGCTCTGCTGATACAGTTGTTTCCCAGGAGTGTGTGAATTGACAGTCCTGACACTGCTGTGCACGTAGACTGGAATGGATCACTTACATGCGTGGATGGCAGATGGTGGGAGCCAGGCTTCTCACTTTTGAAGTTGAAATTTACCTACAGGTAAGGGAGGAAGCTAGAGTGATCCATGTAGTAATGGATTCAAGTTGAAGGCATCAGTGTAAACTCAAGTTTAGCTCAATATGTACTTACAGATGGTTACACAGAGAAACATTTGTAGATATGGGTATACAAACATATTTCTTTTGCTCTGTCAGCTGAGAGGGCTTAAAATAAATGATATCCCAGTAGCAATGAGCACACTCAGCATTCAGATATTGGTTTCTTCTTATTTTTTCAAATAAAAAATTCTTTTGTGGCAAGAACATCTAATAGTTAATCTCTTAGCAATTTTTGAGTATACATTATTATTAACTATAGTCACCATGTTGTACAATACATTTCTTGAATGTATTCGTCTTATCTAACTGAAATTTTGGATCCTTTGACCAACATCTCCCTAACACCCTCCACCCAGCCCTGGTAATTACCTTTCTGCTCTCTACTTCCATGAATTCACCCTTTTTAGACTCCACATGTAATTGAGATCATGTTTGTTTTTCTGTGCCTGGCTTATTTCACTTCACATAATGTCCTTCAGGTTCGTCCACGCTGTTGCAAATGACAGGATTTTCTTCTTTTTAAAGGCTTCAGAGTATTCTGTGTATACATACCACATTTTTCTTTATTCTTTCATTCATTGAAGGACACTTAGGTTGATTCCACATATTGGCTATTGTGAACAGTGCTACAGTGAACACGGGAGTGTAGGTATCTCTTCAACACATGCTGATCTCGTTTCCTTTGGACATATACTCCGAAGTGGGATTGCTGGATCATATAGTAGTTCTATTCTTAATTTTTTAGGAACCTCCTTACTGCCTGTACCAACTTACATTCCCACCAACAGTGTCTGAGGGTTCTCTTTTTCCGTATCTTTGCCAACACTTATCTTTTGTTTTCTGGGTTTTTTTGGGGGGGGGGTGTGGGGGAATAGTAGCCATTTTAACAGATATGACTCAGTATCTCATTGGGTTTTGAATTCGCATTCCCTGATGATTAATGATGTCGAACATTTAAAAAAAATACTTTTTGAGCATTTGTATGTCTTCCTTTGAGAAATGTCTATTCAAGTTCTTTGCCCATTTCTTTTTTTTTTCTTTTCTTCTTTTTTCTTTCTTTCTATTTTTTGAATTGGCTCTCACTCTGTTGCCCAGGCTGGAGTGCAGTGGCAAAATCTTGGCTCACAGTAGTCTCAATCTCCTGGGCTCAGGCGATCCTTCCTCCTCATCTTCCTGTGAAGTTGGAACTGTGCCTGGTTTTTTTTTTATTTTTAAATTTTTTTTAGAGACAAGATCTAACTAAGCTGCCTAGGCTGGTCTTGAACTTTTGACTTTGCCTATTCTCCTCCTCCTCCTTCTTCTTTGTCTTTGTTCTTCTTCCTCTCTCTTCCCCCTCTCCCTCCCTCTCCTTCTCCTCCTATTATTATTATTATTATTATTTTGAGTCAGGGTCTCACTCTGTCACCCAGGCTGGAGTGCAGTGGCATGATCACGGCTCACTGTAGCTTTGACCTCCTGGGTTCAGGTGATCCTTCTGTGCCTTCTGAACAGCTGGAACTACAGGCATGTATCAACACACCTGGCTTATTTTAAAATTTTTTTTAGAGACAAGATCTTGCTATGTTGCCCAGGCTGGTCTCAAACTCCTGGGCTCAAGCAATCCTCCTGCCTCGGCCTCCCAAAGTGCTGGGATTACAGGCGTGAGGCACTGTGCCTGCCACCCCTTTGCTCATTTTTGTTGTTGTTGTTTGTTTTTTGTTGTTGGTATTTTTTTAGTGGGAGGCTCTTACTCCTTCACCCAGGCTGGAGTGCAGTGGCACGCACTCTCGTGGTCACCCCAGCGTTGACCTGCTGGGCTCCAGTGATCCTTCTGCCTTAGCCTTCCGAGTAGCCGGAACTACAGATGCGCACTACCGCACCTGGATATTTTTTATTTTATTGTAGAGACGAGGTCTCGCCAATTTGCCCGGGCTGGTCTCAAACCCACGAACTCAGGCAATCCACTCACCTCGGCCTCCCAAAGTGCTAGAATTACAGGCTGAGCTACCGAGCCCAGCCTGTCCATTTCTTAACCAGGCTGTTTGTTTTCTTGATACTGGGTTGTCTGAGTTCATTATATATTTTGGATTTCATCACCTTATCAGATGTATAGTTTGCAAATATTTTCTCCCTTTCTAGGCTTGTCGCTTTACTCTGTTGTTTCTTTTGCTGTGCAGAAGTTTTTAAGTTTGATGCAATCCATTTGTTTATTTTTGCTTTTGTTGCTTGGATCATGCCCAAAAAAGTCATTGTCCAGGCCAATTTCAAGAAGCCAGATCTTGATTTCTTTCTTTCTTTTTTTTTTTTTTTGAGTTGGAGTCTCACTCTGTCGCCCAGTCTGGAGTGGAGTGGCATGCTCACAGCCACTGCAGCCTTGACCTCCTGGGCTTAGGCGATCCTTCTGCCTCAGCCTTCCAAGTAGCTGGAACTACAGACGCACACCACAACATCCACCTACATATCATGGTTTCTAATAACACTTCCCAATAAAATGAACAAGGACTCCTTGGAGAAATAATTAAATCTAGGACGAGGGCAGGAAATATACAAGATGAGCCTGAAGTGTATTGTAGTGTCCAAAAGTGAGGAAGAGTTGGAGGGGGACTACATTGACGGGGCATAGCAAGGGGACATGGGGGTTGACTAAAAGAATGCCCAGTGGTCAAAGTTGGGACAATTCGAACAAGAAAATAAGGCAGTACTAGATTATAACTAAAAGTTTAAAATAAATATCCATGAATGTATGTTGACATAAATGAGTAAACAATACATTAATTGATAAATAGAGAAGAGACAGATCTCTCTGCAGAGTACTTTGAAATAATGTATGTAGCCACTCTGTCTTCAAGGAGAGAGAGCAGAACCACTGAAATGTGGGCTGCACATAGGGACTTCCTTCCAAAAAGTACAGTATGGAAAGGTGGGGATGGAATCACTTCACAGTGGAGAAACCTGAGGAGCGCCGCCCTGCGCGTGACCAAGGCCGACATCAGCAGGCATCAGTCACGTTGACAGGATGGCCCTGTAATATGATGTGATGACAGTGGCATTCTTCCTCCGTGGTAATCCCTTCAGTAGCCTGTAACCCCGTGGAATCACGAGAAAAGTATCAGGCAAATTCTAATAGCAGGGTAACCCGAAAAATACTTGATGAACACTCCTCAGAGCTGCCAAGTCTGGGAGACTGCTACTGCCCGGGGGAGCCGAAGGA